GTGAGAGTCTTTAGTTGCACTGTCGTGGCAGCCTTGTGAATCAATTCAAAACGTTTACCGTTCATGGTCATTTTGACTTTGAATAAGAACCAGGAGTTGCACGGTGCCAGATCTGCTGAATAAGGTGCATGAGGACACACCGTAATGTTTTGTTTTTGTTTTGTTTTTTCAAGATTTTTATTGGAAAATTGGGGGAGGGGAACAGCATTGGGGAATGGGGAAAGGGGAACAGACAAGTTGTTGTCCTTTTGTTCTTCAGTCTAGTTGTGGAGGATGTCGCTTCACTGGCCCATGTTGGTATTATCATTGCGCTCTTCCCAGGTGAGGCAGATCGGTCGCAGGTCACTGGACGGCCACTCACAGCAGTTCTTGGCAGCTCATGCCTGCTGCTGGCCAGCCCCACTGCAGCCTATGCTGTCACCAGTGACTCACAGCAGCACAGCTCCAGGTCGAGCTGTTGTTCATCATCTTAGTTGTAGAAGGCGCAGTGTCACTTGTCCTCATATAGGATCCGAACTGGGGCCCTGCTGCTCAGAGCTGGTGTCCCAAGCCAACTCCTAACCAACATGGCACTTGGCCGGCCCTGTAATGTTTTTATTTGACAGAAACTGCCGTATCAGATTGATATGTGACACAGAGCGTTGTCATGATGATGAAGTAAAGACACTCACGAAAGAGGACTTCCAGAACTGCTTCAGAAAGTGGCAAGAACTATGGGTTAAGTGTGTTCCCCTCCCCCAGTTCCCCAATAAAATCTTATTTGGTTTTTTTTTTAAAGATTTTATTGGGTAACTGGAGGAGGGGAACAGCGTTGGGGAACCGGGGAAGGGGAACAGACAAGTTGCTGTCCTTTGGTTCTTCAGTCTAGTTATGGAGGACATCGCTTCACTGGCCCATGTTGGTATTACCATTCCATTCTTCCCAGGTGAGGAAGTCGCTTGCCGGCCACTGGACGGCCAGTCACCGCGGCTCTTGGCAGCTCACAAAAGCACACACCTGCTGCCAGCCACTCATTAGCTCATGGCAGCACACTGCAGCCTATGCCGTCACCAGTGACTCATAGCAGCCCAGCTCCAGGTCGAGCTGTTGTTCACCATCTTAGCTGTAGAGGGCGCAGCGTCACTGGCCCTAATGTGGGATCTGAACCAGGACAATGCTGCTCAGAGCTGGCGTCCCAAGCCAGCTCTTAACCAATGTGCCACTTGGTCAGCCCCCCATATCTATCTTTGATAAGTTTGCCGCAATGTTTCTCTTAATATTTAAACATATGTAAATGATTTTATTTGACAAATATTTGTTAAATATTTAGTAAATGGCATTTTTATAATAAAAAAATTTTAAAGGAGAAAAAATCACCATCACCAAACTTCTACTGATGTGCTATTATATGACCATGTACAAAAAGCTCTGCTTCTTAATTTTATATTTTAATTAATTTCTTTAAACTTCAACACCTAAAACTATTTTTATTTTGGTCAAGCACCTACCATTTACAGACTAAGTGTTTGACATTCTATTGGGTTGTCGGAAAAGTCATGGCGCATTTTTGCAACGAAAAACATAGAAAAAATACGTCATGACTTTTCCAACAACCCAATATATAATAGTGGTTATTTTTCTTGAATGCAAAAGCCAATATTCATCTTGTTTGCTATTTTCAAATTTACTTAATTTTGTTGTTTGTAAAACAAAATACATGAATTGGATTAATGTTCCCAAATCAGAGCACTTCACTTAAAACACTTTCCCTTTTTATTGTGATAACATGACTGATTCCTAGTTGGCAATATTCCTGCTTCTGGTTCAAAAGATTCCAGTAGACCAAGACCTAGGGAACAATCTGAAATGCAGCTGTAAAGATCTCTGAGGAAAAACTATGCACAAATTCACTTCTCTTTCATCTAGCTAGATGTACAGTGAAAATTACAGAGATCTTGTTTTGTTTGTTTGCTTGTTTGTGAAAAATAAACATAGCCAATTCAGTATAATTTCTGCACAAAAGCTAGTGACCTTGAGTAGACAGAAAAACTACATGAAAACACTTCCTGCTTTCAGTGTAGTGTTTAATCAACAAATCAAATGAAATAATCCAAAACTGAAGTATGGACTGATAAAATCTGTTGACAGAGAGAGAATTCTTGAGAAGTGCTCCGTTTCAATTAAAAATACATATATTTTTTTATTTTTAAACTTTTTACTTGCAAATAATTTAAAACTTATACAACAGCTATAAGAAAAAGAACAGTACAAAGAATACCCATATACCTTTACCCAGATTCACTTATCGTTACCATTTAACCCCATTTGCTTTATCATTCCCTTTCACACACGCAAGCGCACACACATACACTTGTGCATAAACACGCTCATGCACATAATCTTGTTTTGAACCATATCAAGAATAGTTATATATATTCTCTTATTTAACCACATTACTGTTATCAGCTTCAGTAAATTTAATATTAATTCTTTAATCGTCTATTTTGTCAATTAGCCTAACAATGTCCTTTATCACATTTTTTGTATCCAGTCTAGGAGAGTTAGGTACTGCTTAGCTGTCAAGTATTTCCACCCTCCTTTAATCTAGATCTTTCCCACAGTCTCTTTTTCTTATATGACATTGATATTTTTGAAGAATACAAATCCTCTTTATGTACTAGAACATTCCTAATTTACAATTTGTCTCATGTTCCCTCATGATTAGATTCAGGATATGCATTCCTGGCTAAAATACAGTACTACACCAATAATACTGTGTCTTCCTCAGGGTATCATGGATGTACATCTGCCCACCATTAGTAATGTTAACCCTGAAGAACACCTGGTGAAGGTGTTACCCAATTTCCTCACTTTATAATTACTAATTTTTCCCTTGCAATATGTGGAAGACACTTTAGAACAATGCAAATATCCTGAGGCTCCTTACTGAGACTGAACCAGATTTAGGATACTTTAATGATTCTTGCCTGATCCAATCCTAATAATGATGGTTTCAGAATAATAAGTTTCCAACTGCTGCACTCCTACATTTACCAGTTGGCACTTGGCCTTCTACTATAAACAAGTGCTCTCTCTCTTCTCCCTTCTCAGCTATCAGTACAGACTCATGAATTCATTTTCCCTCCAATCGTTTACAAATTATTATTGTATTTTTTTAGTACTCAAATTGTCTTGAATTAGCCAGTGAGAGTTTGTTCAAGCTGGCTCCTATGTCCTAGTGACAAGTTACCATCCTATTCGGGAGCAGTTTTTTCCTTACTTTCTAGTGTTACGAGATGTTTCAGTCTTATCTTGAATCTATCCTGCTCCAGTCCAAAAATAAGTCATTTTTCCAAGGAGTCCAAATTCTTTTTGAGTGGGGAGTGGTATCAGAGACTAAATCTGGATGTTATGTATGCTCATTGCTACTGAGGTGGTTTTGCTTCTTGTCCTTCTCAACAAAAAGAGCTAAGAATATATGTAGGTATATTTCACATGTATATAAATGTATACACATACAAATATGTATATACACATAACACATACATATGTATATTTTGAAAGTCATAAGTCCATACCGATACCTTGAAGTACAATCTATTCACATGAGATTCTCTTGCCTTCCCCCTACCATAATTGTGTTCCTATTCCTTCAGTATGAATACTGGTTCCCAAGATCATCAACACATATACTCATTTTCTTAATCCTATAATACAATACTCCTATAGTTGTTTCAGAATTTCTTTGTCTACATTACTAAAAAGCAAACCTTCTAAAAAGAGTACATTATTTGTTTGCAATTCTCCCCCATCTCTTACATCCCATCTCACTCAAAAGAGTATATATAATCAAATACGTACTATGTTTGTAAAACCCTTAGATTAGTTATTTCTTTTTCCCTTAAGTGTGATTATGATACTTATGTGAAATACAATTGGACTCATTTGTTTCAGTTTGATTTTAGTTTGGGGTTTTTTCCCCCTTCTCATCCTTATTTATTTAATTTTACTTTCTACATGTGTCTAACAGTATCATGATTCCAAAAGTCAAAACTACATACAAAAGGGGACTGTTGCTCCTTCCTGTATCCTTTCCACTCCATTCCTTCTCCATTCCCTCCATCTCTTATAAGGAACCAACTTCATTATTTTCTGATTTATACTTTCTTTGATTTTTTGAGATAAGCTTCCTTACACAAAAAAATAGCACACTAGGGCCGGCAGAGTGGCGCAATGGTTAAGAACTGGCTTGGGACGCCAGAGGGCCCCAGTTCGGATCCCACATATGAGGGCCAGTGACACTGCCCTCTTCAGCTAAGATGCTGAAAAACAGCTCAACCTGGAGCTGGGCTGCTGGGAGTAGCCGGCGACAGCGTAGGCTGCAGCCCCTGTGGCAGTGGGTTGCCATGGGCTACCGTGTGTAGCCAGCAGCCAGCGTGAGTGGCCAG